TTCAGAGGGCTCCTGGCATTAAACACTGCCAGAAGGTTGTGAGAGTGGCAAACCTGGACGTGCTCAGGATCCAGAGGGACCTGCAGTCGGGCAGAGAGCTCTCCAACACGGACCAGACGCTCTACCGCTATTACTGCAAGGCGCTCTTGGTGTTTGTCCACATGCAGCGTCTCAGAGCTGTGGAAGCCTTGACGGTAAGTTCATCTACTGTAACGAGTTTACGTTTCGGATGTGCTTTAATATTGGCACACTTATGCATTTGTAAATAACACCTTTTTCAATATTTTACAGGCAGTGTTGTCACAGTTACTTTGAAAAAGTAACTAAGTTATTTTACAAGTTACTTGATTTTTAAAGTAACTAAGTTATTTTACAAGTTACTTGATTTTAAAAGTAACTAAGTTACTTACAAGTTACTTTTATTAGTTACATTCAGCAGTTGCCGACAACACACCCTCAACATAACGAACTCAACATAAAAAAAACACACGACCTCAACATAAAAATAATAACCGGTTTTGCCAACATTCACTTTATTGGAAGTGTATTTTTAACAGTAACATCAATCTATCTCCTGTTATTTAAAGTTTAACTTAAAAATTATTTCCTGAAAAAAACGTTTTACACAAAAAACAGTCTTTCTTGACTTAACTTAAGTTCTTAACTTTCTTCACCTCACTTAACATAAATACTTGTTTTATAAAAAATAAGATAAAGACAGCCTTTCTTGTCTTCACTTAACATAAATACTTGTTTTATAAAAAATAAAATAAAGACAGCCTTTCTTGTCTTCACTTAACATAAATACTTGTCTTTATAAAAATTTAAAATATAGACTATAAAATTTCTTGACCTGACATATTTAACAGTTAACACTGTGACAAAACTTACTATTTATAATCTACATTTTTTTTATCTTTATTTGTTATCTTATGTTTAATCCCATGTTATGAGTTAAGGAGAGAGGCGAGTAAAACCAGTGGTTGTACATCATTAACAGAAGCTTCTCAAACCTCTCAGGTTGAAACGAAGGCGAATCAACCGTGTTTAATCGCAGCATTTCCTCCACAACAAACTGCCCGACCAACTTCTTCAACTCCCCCCACTTACTGGTTTTGTGGTTTTGCAACGAAGTCCAGCTTTTGCTTTTGTGGTGGGGAACCTGCTCTCTGCTTCGCATCACCTGGCGTGACTCGCTCTGTAAGTTTGACTGTGCGGTGCTGCGAATCCAAATGTTTTTTTGTTTTTTTCAAATTTGACGAAGTGTTTCTGTAGGTAGATAACACTTTGTCACCGCCAGCAGTTTACAACGGACCTTAATGTTGCCATCTTTAGCTGAGACAAAAGTGGCGATATTTCCTATTTCGGTCAGCCGCCATCTAAGAAGCAGCGTGTCAAATCAGGCTTTCCAGATGACCGCATTTTTTATGACAAGTGGCAGATTACCCAGTATGCCCACAAAGAGCAATATCTGCTGTGTAAGTCTCTTAATCCATCAATAGAGCATTGACACTCATTAACTCAACACTAGGCCATCATAGCAAAGTCAAGTCAATGGTCCATGTTCAACATGGCAGAAAATCCACAATTCAAAGTGAAGGTATGTTTCTGCTCAATCTAATTTGAAATATTTTCTTTTAAATATTTTAACACTTGCGTTTAACACCCAAATAATGCATGTAGTGGCAATCTCATTTCAATGTTTAATTATTGTATGTTTTTTGTAAAATTGCATCATGGACCAGTCCTAGATTTTAAGATTTAAAATGTATCAAGTTTATTATGATGCAGCTACTGAATGGTAAATCATATGTGTTGTACTCTTTATCAGCTGTGCACCCAGTCTGGATAATTGGTGACAGTTATGTTCGACGTGGCCAAGAACTAGCAAGGGAGACCATGGGGACCAATCTTGGACTATCTTCCCAGGTCCAGTGGTTTGGAAGAGGAGGCATGTGCTGGGGAGACCTCATGCCCTTCTTCAAACAGTGTCTTAAAGGACGAACCGCTCCGAATGTGCTGGTCCTTCACTGTGGAGGGAATGATCTGGACTGTGTGAAAAGCGTGCTGCTCATTAAAGGTGCCCTATAATGTTTTTTTTAATTATTTTATAATGTTTCTTGAGTTGCCCTTATAATGTTAGTATGTTTTTAGATCAAAAATAGTCATAATTTAGAAATAAAAGGCATTTTTCCTAGCCTGATTTTAGCCTCTGCTTTGAACACTCTGATTGAAAGGGCGTGTCTGCTGTGTTTGGCTGACATGCTTGCATATGAAATAGCTATGTATTACATGTGAAACTCTCTCGAATAATTTCACTACAGCTATTATACGTTTTTACTATAACAGCCATCGAGATTAACAAATCGTGATATGTTTTTGAAGTATTTGGATCTATTCCCATCACATAAAGTGTTGCTGTGATGAGCAAGCAGAGGACAGTCTATCGATCGTGAGGATGAAGATATTATCATTGCAATGCAGTTTCTGCTTTCTCTAGTCTAATGCTTTTTCACCAATGCCAACACGATCATCTAAATACAGTTAGAGCTTCGTTGTGCAGTGTAATGTGCGTCACCGAATTCATAACGAGTTTGGCAAGTGTCCAGATAAACTCGCGCTACGTGGATTGTGGAAAGATTGTTCTTTGATCGCTTTCTGTATGTAATTTATTCACAATTTAAATAAGATTTTTTTTTCCATCCTACTAAAAGAAATGATGTGAAGTTGATATTTAATCACTGGCTCAACTTACTGATGCATAAACAGTATTAAACGATTTTGGGAGAAAGATTACCTGTCTGAACATGAACAACAATTACACATCAGCTCGGTCCGAGGCCAGCTCTTGGCAAGTTGAGGAAACAGTCGTCGGTGAAATGTTTGGAAATTTCCAGAGAAAATAAAATTAACCCATTGTTTCTTCAGAGGCTCGGACGAAGGTACTAAAATATACTCTTGTGTTCATGTGTAGATCCAACACTGATCAACGGCCATGCTTCGACTGCGCAGCTCCGTCTCGTCTGTCACTGAACATGGGCTGGCATATGCAAATGTTAGGGGTTGTACATATTAATGATCCCGACTTTTGCATCAGAGTCGGTATTATGTGGAGATTTGCCTGTTTTTCATGGGTGTTTTTCAAAAATGAGATTTAAGAAGGAGAAAACAATGGTGTTTGAAACTGTATGTCATGTCCATGTATTGAACTCTTGTTATTTAACTATGCCAAAGTTACCATTTAACTATGCCACGACGTTTCCCAAGATGAATATTGTGTTCTCGTCAATCAACCAAAGGCGCCACTGGAGGCATGCCCCACCGGTAAAGGTGGAGAAAATGTGCAAGTTTGTAAACGACGTGATGGCGAAGTTTGTGCCCTGCGTCAACAGGTGCATTGTATTGCATGGACTAATTCTGTTCAATAAGCCTGAGATGCTTTTGAGGGATGAGGTTCACTTAAGCCCTGAGGGGAATGATGTGTTTTTAAATGAAATTAGAAAGTGTCTCAGACGAGACAACCTGTGAGTTATTTGTTTTTTTCTCCAGTGTGAATACACTGTTTTATTCCTTTTAACTATTAAAGGTGCTCTAAGCGATGTCAGGTGACTTGTTGTTGATGTTTAAAGTATTTTCACACAAAACGGAGGCTCGATAGATCCACCCTTCCTCATCTACGCACTGACACACAAAAGCAATAAAATTAAATAATTACATTGTCACAATTCAGAATTTTAAAGTGGCTAGTCTAGTAAATTAAGTTTCCTAAATGTATTTTCTTTTTGTTACTCAATTTAATTGACAGTTAAAATATCTTAAGGTTAGATATAGATATAGGGTTATACAGAAGAGTGAATTCATTCTTAAAGACTTGTAAGATCTTGTTCAGGGTCCCTGTTCATGTTGGACAGACATTTTAATTGCATTTTTTGTCTGTTAAGAGGCACAAAAACAGTCTTTATGTCCATGCCCCCATAGCTGCCATTTTAGCTGGGTGGGAGCTCTGGGCATTCGCGGTCACAGCTCCGTGTAGCAAGCACAAATCCGATTCATTTTTGTTTCTATAGTCAGTACTCACAAAGGTCTAACAATCAAGATTAACTTAAAAATTACCCGGAGTTCTCCTTTAACACTACAGACTAAAGTTCAGGACAGCGCCATTGAGCTCACCCGAGGCCTGTGTCCTCACTGTGTCTGCTGTTCAAAAATGTCTGTATTTAACTCAAATCTCAAGCGTTTTTTCTGCTTTTTGCATCAAATTAAACAGTGAGTACTGCACTTATTACTGCTAACACTGATTATGCTGTATCTTGGTCAGAGAGGGGAAGAGACTGTGTTGCGCATGTCACTTGCAGCCTGTAATGTCACCTGTTGCGTCGCAAAATGTCTTTAATTCAGTCTAACTTTGAGCTGTTGACATGTTTGGCTTCAAAATAAAGCTCAGAACGAGCACTTTTCTAGTGGACTGATGATTTGACTGCATCATGTTCCTAGCGTGAATGGGAGGTCGTTGATTTGGCCTTGTTGTGGTGAACATCTGGGAGCACTTTGCCAGTTTTCAACTTTGAATCTTCTGTTAAAATGAATGTCTTTCAGTCAATTTTTATGCAACAAGGTTTCGCACACCTATTTAAAGCTTATAATGTGTAGTTTAATGCGTGCCTAATCAATTTCCTGTAACCTCGTTCAGAGAGTTAAAATTACCGGAAAAAGGACAGAAAGGCACCGTTGAGCTCACAAAAGCCCTATGTCCTCGTGCTGTGTTGGCGGTGATCCTCAGCTCTTCATCACGGTTGGCTCTCTACAAAATTAATTCACTTCTTCTCGATGTGATCGTTTTTAGGAAATTGAAATAAAGACACCGATCTGTTTTGTACATGATCGCATCCAGGTAGTTGCCTATGGATTTCTGTGTCGAAGGTAGGGTGGCCATACGTCCGGATTTTGGCCGGACAGTCTGGATTTTAACCAGTTAACCTTCGCGCAACCGACGGCGCTCTGAAGCCCTCCCCCCCCCCACTAGTTTAATGTTTATGAATGGATTTAACATGAAAGAAGATCATTAATCTTGGCAAACTATATATAATTTTAAAGGTCTAAGCCTCGGGCATCGATGTCAGTGCACTGTTTTTCGATGGAAAGCTTATAACAAATGTATTTCTTGCATTTAGGTAAGCAGTACACATAAGAACGCACGTAAACAAAAACGGAGTACTCACCATTATTTTGTAATAACGAGCCAGACACGCATCCACTGTTAAAAATTCCAGATTGAATGGAAAGCTGAGGGTCCACTGAATAACATCCCATAGAGCATTTTTTGTCCAAAGAAAAAATAATGTTGTAATATCCATGGTAATTCCTTTGTTTACATCGCGTTTCTTCAGGGTGAATATCATGCGGTTTTGTTATGCAATAAAATAGTCCATAGAAAACAGACTCCCGGTAGCAGACCCTTATATGGGTGTGTTGCTTAGAGTGTAATGAACAAATTACGACCGCGCACACACACACAAATACAAAGATAAGCGATATCTAGTTCAAAATATGCAAACACTGCAGTCCGTTTTTTTGACGTCATGATATGCACATCATATCATTCTGTCTTTATAACGAAAGCCAATAAAAGAAACGACATGATATGACTGGTAAAACATGTAGCCAACCAGTGCACGATTCCAACGTTGCCCGGGAAGTTTGAATTTCTCACACGAACATATGTTTTTATTTGCTCTCCGTCCGGTAGAGGAGCTAAACTTCAGGCTCTGCAGAGCCACACCCACCGCGGTCATGTTTTGACAGGCCTGCTATAGCTAAGAGCTAAGATAACAAGCTAAGAGGTAGCTAGTCAACAAACATCTGTTCGTGCAGACATGCAGACTGTCATAAAATAATTTGTCAAAAGAAGTATTTTTCTGCTGAAGTAGTTATTCGAGATCACTCGAAGATGGATTATGTCGACATTGATGAGAAGATGAGTGATGAGAAGATCGTGACGACGGTGATAATTATGCTTGAGGGCGGAAAAGATTATCCAATTTTCGGTGAGTTGCTTTATACATAACTTATGTAACATGCACACATTATACGTATGTGTGTCTGTGTGTGGGTGGGTGGGTGAGAGAGAGAGAGAGAGAGAGAGAGAGAGAGAGAGAGAGTGTTTGGTTTCCAGTTGTTTCATACGGAAAATGCATTGTGTAAAGTTGTGTCTGAAAAGATTATGCGTTACTTTATATGCATTTATTTATTTGTATATATGTATTTATATGCTTTGGACGGTTATGCAGTTGTTTGCCGTTTTTTTCTGGCACATGTGGTGTGCTATCTGAAGGATGGAGGGGCTGGACACCTGTGCAATATACATTTTTTCCTAGCACACATACTGTATATTTTTACAGTCTAATATACATAATATTTATAGTACAAATGCAAATATTTGTACTGTAAATATGATGTATGTTGTACTGTAAATGTATATATATATATATATATATATATATTGTTGTTGTTTTTTTTTTTTTGTTTTTTGCAGAAATTGGTGGGAAGAATTGCAGAAAATATGTGCTATATAGGAAGGAGTTGTATGCTTTCAAAATGCCACATTCCTGTCTGATGGCCGGCCATCAGTGTGATTGTTGGTTCTTTGTCTGGTCATCCATATGAATGCTGTCTATATCACTGGCCATTGATTGTTGATTGAATGGATGAGCTTTAGTACGAATGCTGTGTAAACGACTGCCCATCAGTTTGATTGTTGAATGAATGGCCAGCTATATAGAAACTAAACAGAATTATTTACTTGACATGCAGTGCTAATTATCTTTCCATTCTTTCCCATGCAACAGCCATCAAGTTGAATCTTCAGATGAAGAATGGCATCCAAGCACCAGCCAGAGATGCAAGCTCTCAGTTTCTTCACTATTCTTCACTTTTTCCATACTTTTCAGAACATTGCAATTCACAAGAGGATGGTGGCATAAAAAGCTAGGAATGGACTAAAGCAATATATGAAGGCCAAGCCAACAAAGTACAGTATTTATATCACTTGTATTTTCTATTGCAAAGAACCTCAGTTATTTATTTTTTATATTTCATAATATTTTACTTATGTATTTTACATATATATTTTTTTTGTTCTGTTGTGCAAATAAATCACTTGCATAAAGTCTAATGGTTGTGTGTATTATTTTATAATTGCATTATTTTATGAATTGACTGAAATAGCTTGCAGTGCCCTGCATAACATTTGGTCATTAGGTTGCTTTTTGATGTATCCAAGGAGGTTTCTTGGTACCTGGACATAGTCTTGGAAAAAATACTGTAGGAATCTCATTTTTCATAATATCTTCCTCAAATTTGAAATATAAACTGATGAGACTTATGTCTTTCAATCAATTACCTAACTGGATTCCTACAGGTTTGTTTTCATTTATTTTTACATGAAATTGTAAAATATTACATGCAGTATAAATTATCTTCAAGACACTTTAAATTCTATAACTTTTTGTCTGTGTAAGTTTTTTCAACTTTAACAGTTGGGTAATACACTCTAAAGTGTCTTCTTTTTAAACATGTCTAAATTGTGCATGTAGTGCAAATAGTTGAGCAACTGCAAATATTTTAGTTTGGGCATGTTATTTCTGGGGATGTGCCTCAGGCAGGGGGAGGGAGAAAGGGAACTGACATAGTCTTGGAAAAAAGTTTGCAGGAACCCCATTGTTCATTATATCTTCCTCAAATTTGAAATATAAACTGATGAGACTTGTTGCTTTCAATCCTTTATCTATCTGAATTACTCCAGGTCTATTTTTATATATTTGTACATGAAATACTAAAACATTTTTGTGGCGCACATTATTTTTGAGGCACTTTTAACTTTTATAACTTTTTTTCTGTTTGAGTATTATCAAATCTGATTGATTGTTAGTAAAGTCCCAACTGTCTTCTTTCCAAAGATACCTTAATTGTGCCTGTGGTACACTGTTCTCAGGAGCTGTATTTATTGTTATCCAGGCATGTCATTTTCAGCTGTGAGCCCCCTTGTGGAGCTGAAGGTTAACAGGTTAAGCTCTGTGTCCGGCGTCCGGCGCAGCCTCAAGCCGGACACTCATTTGTCCTCCTTTTTGGAGTTGATCTGAATCGGCCAAAAAAAAAAAAACCGCTCTGGAATCTTTGAGACGCAGCATAGCGTCTAATGCCGTAGATCTCTAGTCAAACACATGATTGCAGGGTTGCCAACTCTCACGCATTGAGCGTGAGTTTCACGCAAAATTGAGCCAATTCTCACGCTCTCACGCCACACCCCGATTTCTCACGCTGAAGTGTGAATCCGGCCGGTCAAATCCCTGAAAGATGAGTTTATCTATAGATCTACCTGATGAGCCACTCGTGATCGACTAGTTTTACCGCAATTTAGTTAAAAAATACACTAATCTAGAGCTTAGCTCCTAACGTCACGGACGCAAAGCTAGGACTGGAGCAAAAGCCCGTTCCTCTCTGCACTCTAGTCTTAGTGTTCTGTTATCACTCCACTCTAATCCACTACGGGTTTTCCAGTCTCACTCACAAGAAAAAACTGCTCCGTGTTCAATCTAATTTAAAAAAGATAATCTTATGTTTTATTTTTTTATATATCACAAACGTATGAATTTATAATACTATATGTAATGCTCTGGAATTCTACATGTTTAATAAATGTTCCAACTGCTTACACAAGGAAACAGTATGGGAAAGTGCACCCAGGTAAAAATAAGAATTTGACAAATTCTACAAACAATCTTAGTTTGCCAACAGTTAATAATATATATATATATATATATATATATATATATATATAATAGAATTATAGATGCAGCACGCGCACGACGGCAGAGAGGTAATATATGCAGCACGACGCAACCCCCCAAACGTTGATTTAATGAATGGGAATATGAATATCATATGAAATATGAATATGTATTGGGTTGTACGAATTTGTTCATTGTTTGTGAAGGCAATGTCCTATCAGAATGAGTCTTGCATCATTGTAAAGGTTGTGTTTTGCATTTTCACATAAGTCTGAGCTCACTATTTCATGTTGTTCTAGGCCCGAGAAAATAGGGATCAAATAGGTGTCGATTCAGGCCTTTCTGCTGGCTGGTGAAGGCACAAAAATGGCTGTACGAATTTCTTTATTGTTTATTGAGGCAAAGTCCCACCAGATTGAGCCTCACATCATTGTAAAGCTCATGTTTTGTCATTTTACTTGAGGCCAAGCTCTCTTTGATGTGTTGTTCGAGGTCCGAGATAAAATGGGGTCACGTCGGCCACCATTAAGGGCACAAAACGCACAAAAACGCTGCTCTTATGGACAGTGTACATGTACACATACAAATCTTTATGTAATCATAAAGTTCATGTTATGCTGCTCGCAACGAGCCCAAGCATGTAGCTGTGTTTCGTCCGCCGAGCGCAAAATCCCCCTTCAAACATGAACCATCCTCGCGTACCAATCAGTCCCTCTCGAAGAGAGTCAGGCCAAAATCGTAAAAACGTTCGTAAAAATCGACCTGAACGTTGTACGTCGAAACCAAAGGCACAGATGTTCTCTGTAGAGTGGGCCGGACGCTCCAATGCCAGACTCAGTGGGATCTGGCACTCTCACGGGTTTCTACAAATCCCAGAGAGTGCTCGCTCAGCTCACGGAGCGGTTTCCAATACCGTGAGGGTCCTCGCACGCCTGGATAGTACGGGGCGCGAGACCAATGAATCAGGTGGCGTTTCGCCATTCGAACACACCCACTCTCTCTCAGGCCGCGCGCCACTCTGCTGGGGAGGTACCGATCGGTTCTTTTTTAGGCTTCACTCTGAAAAATTTGTTCCATACAAAAATAAAAATGATTGGCGTCATCTCGATCCCGCCAAGACGGTCGCAACGGTGTATTAATCACTTTTTGGACCTGAGACGAAGTCAGACTGGTTGAATTTGTTTTGCAAACTGACAAACTGATGGTGTTTTGACTGATTTCAAAAGCACAAAAGAAAACAATAATGTCTTTATGCCCAAGAAATGAAAATGCAGATGAAGTTGACTTTATTTTACAAACTAACACCGTTTCTTTTCAGTTCAGTCCATTAAGAGTACTGAACATTGTATATGATGTAAAAAATCACAGCAATCCAGATGAGATTGTTGAAATGGCTGAACCTTGTGAAACCAAAGATATCGTTGGGCATGGTAACTGCTTTTTCAGATTGGTAGATTATGCAGTAAGTGTAAGTGAACAAGAACATAGAAAACTGGGACGCGCTGTTGTAACACATCCTCCAGGATAAAAAAAAAATGAAATATGTCGGAACTTGGGCAACAGAGCTAGAAATACAAGCAGCCATTGATTTAATTGGTGTGGAAATATTTACATTCAGTGAAGAGAAATGGCTTAAATAGTCAGCCCGCGTTCCCGCGTTTTGATAGTTTTTTTTATTTTCACATAGCTGCAGAGACTTAAAATACTCCATCATTAATGGTTATATAAATAATTCAATACATGATTATAAACTATAGAGGGTCTTCTTTTTAGTGTACACTCTTTTTGTTTTTGTTTTTTTCAACCGATAATGTTCTGGGAGGCCATTGTTGCTATTGTAACGAACTACACTTTTACATGCCTCTGATTGACAGATAAATCATGCAATCTTATTTCACTGTTGAGTTTTTTTTTCAGCTTTGTACAATATTTGCTTCATACATTTACTGTAGTTCAATTGTATTGTTAAAGAGGGCAAGTTTTACCATTTAATTGAGCTGTGTATGAGTTTGACACATTGTTGTAGTGATTCTAGCAAAGTTGAATAATTTATATTGATTCTACTCAAGTAAGAGTAAAAGTACCATATTTTAATTATACTAAAGAAAGTGGAAAAAAGAAAAATCTACTCAAGTGCTGTAATGAAAGTATTTGTAATGTTACTTTCCTCCTCTGATAAACAACAATATATATCCCATTTCAATATTGTTAAGGTATGATGTTTGAATTAGGGATGTAAAAATGTTGTCAAAATAAGGTGTTATTTCTCTCTCTCACCCCCTTTTAAAATAGTTAGGGCAGCAGAAGTGTGGCCATCTACTTACACTCATAGTAGGGCTGAACAATTATGGAAAATAATCTAATTGCGATTGCGATTTAATATGCAATTTAAAAAAAAATTATTTACCTTCTGTATTAATTGACAAAGACAAGCAATAAATCATTGTACAGTAGGGATGGGAATCTTTAGGCAGCTCATGATCCGATCTACTTTTTTTATTAATTAATCTTAATAACACTTAAAATATGTATTTAATTACATGTGTACATGTGTAAAAACACATACTTTAAAAAATGATTATAAAAAAAAACAATTAAACCAATGTTAAGAATTTTAAATCAGCTTTATAAAATAATATATCTTCATAATATAAAATCTAAACAAAGAGAAACAAAAAAAAGCATTACAAGCAATAAAGAAAGAGTGGTCTCAGTATTTAAAAGTAGACTGTCTTAATGTTTATTATTCAAGAGCTGGAGTGATTTCCCCCTCAGTTTAGATATAAGCTGCATTCACACTAATGCACATATCTCTTGAAATTGTAAATGTGGTTTGTCCTGTTGGTTTAAGAACTGACCGTGTTTACATTAATTTCACGTCATAAAAGCATTTTGACATGCAAGTTTATGCACATTTAACTAATGATTCGCTCACGGCCGCATGCACGAGCGCTCTTCACAAAGCGCGCGTTAGTATTTTAAAATGAAAGCAGCCTTCTCAGTGATTTTCATAGTTTTAATATATAAGCCAACTGCATTCCAAAATTATAATTATTTATGTTTGCAGGATCACCACCTTTGTGAAGGGGGAGAACATTGGCAGATTTCCAAATGGCCGGTACTTGATTCGTAGCTAAAGAATGGTTAATTAAATGTGCAACTGGGTTGGCTATCAAATCTGCAGCCATTTAAAAAAAAAAATAAGGCTCCAATTTGTCTAAACCTGATGATTTTTTTCAGATCTAGATCCTTCAAGGCCTTCCTTACTTCTGATACAGTTTTTGTCTTGAAATAAAATGGTTGTGCTGACATTAACTGATCAACAGGACAAGCAATAGGAGAGCTGGAAAGCTGTTTTTTTGTTTGTTTTTTGTTTTTTGTCAGCAACAAAAGATGGTAGTTCTGAATCTGTTTTTGCTTCTATTAATATTTTAATAGTTTTCCAGAGCTTTGGAGGGTTGTTCAAAATCTGATGTTTCAGTAAGGAAAAAAAGCAGAATTAGCATTTTGGATTTTTACAGTGCATAAATTACGTAAATGCCGAAATTTCAACCAGTCAGACTCAAGATTTGACTTTCTAGCCTGAGCCCAGGCTTGGTTTCGCTCTTGAAGAAGGTCAGACAATTCATTATTAAACATTATTTCGCCCTTTTACTCTGTGTTTATGCTTCTTTACCAGGCCTGTAAAACCATCATAAAAAAATGTCCAAGCATTCTCAACATCATCAATAAGGCTAATTCTTCCCCAAACAAAAACATACAGATCAAGTAGAAAACCTTGCAATATAACCTGGTTCATTACCCTCTTAAAGATTATGAGTGGCCTTTGTTTTAGGATTTTATTTGTTCCTTACTGATGCTAAGAAAATGATTGCTAATATAATTTGAAAAAACAAAAACAAAAAAATAAACACTGAGGCACAACAGAGAAAGAGTTTTTATGAGGGACATTTGTAAGAATAAGACAAATTATGAAATATTTTTGGTTTGTTCTAGTGGTGCTTTCCACAATCTGAGAAAGATAAAAAGAATCACAAAATGATCAGACATTGGCAAAAGCCAATTCCAGTTAAGATCTCCTAAAAACAAATTCATTATAATTTAAACTTATTAATAACTCCCTCAATGAACAAAGAGTGCCACCATCAGCTGAAGGGCTGAACAACCAACAACTGTGACGTGAAGACTCTTAGAAACTTCTAAGTTAAGGGCCAACAACTCAAAGAGTCTGCTTATTGACTGAGACAATCCCATTCACAATAAATGACTTTTTTTCACATAT